AGGTCAAAGATCTTCTGGTACACAACTAAAATACGTCATTACTGGTAAACCAAATTGCATCACTCTACTCACTAAGAAAACTTAAGTTTACTTGAATCAGAGCTTGTTTAACTGTGATCACACCACTGAAAACTTCAGCAAAAGGAGTATCCCTTTGGAACTGCACAGTGCATTGCCACAGAATGTGCTTTTGAACCCAAAAAGTAACCAAAGCCCAGGAAAGCCCCAGTCTCACAGCAAGATTGAGAAATGAAAAAGGTAGGTTTTCACATTTTCAAGCTTTACCCTTCTGCTTCTCTCCCTGATCCTGCTGCTGGGTGAGCAAGTGGGTGGCTGAGTGGGGCTTGGTTGCTGGCTGGGGTGAAACCACGACACACAGGGAGTAAAGATTCCTATACAGTCTTTGTGAGCCTCAGACTAGAAAAACGGAAAAATTATCTGGAAGATACTGAAGCCATAAAGTGGTACACTGGGCTTGGGTTTGATCCAATTTACCCTGGTTTATCAGCGGTGGTTTTCACTTATTTTCACAATTTACTCTTGAATTGCATCGGCATCAGAATTCAGAACCCATGTGCAGAACCAAAGAAGGACACATTTCTCTCTTAATATGCCATTGAGCTGTTTGCCACATCAAAGTAGATCTGATAACCAAAGAACTGAAAATGGAGCACTTTAAGAAACAATATACTGTATCTTTGGCCTTACATTCTGGACTAAATTCAGGTAAAATTCCTTATGAAAACCAGTAGGGATTCTGCCCTCAAGGGGACTGCTATGCAAGGCTTCAATTGTCAAAGCAGTAAGAGCTAATTCTAAAGGGAAGCAATCACTCTGTAGAGGCAGTCAATAATTTAGTTATGGGAAATGTATATTACAGATGTAGGTTAACACTCATTCACCATATTTGGAATGTGAAAGAATATTTTAAATATTAATTCAAAATTACAATCAAAAAACTTAACAGTTAAAAAAATGGCACTCTGGGACATAGTCAGGGTTGTGATTAAAAATTGTAGAATTACTCTCAGTGATTGACAGCAATGATTTTTGTCTCTCCTCCTGTTCAAAGGTTTTTGATGATGGAGTAACAGTGCTTCAGATTTGCTTATTTGCTGTGTATGTGCTATTCAAGTAATGTTTTTCTTAAGTGAGGGATAGAAAACTTAATTTTACATATGCTTGAAGTATCAAATAAAAAAATAATATGGAACATAAAAGATAAGAACTGAGAAGAAGATAAATACAATTTTGGGAACCAGCAACAAAAAATATTTACTACATTAGAATTCCAAAGATATTAAGGATCAAAAAACTATCAAAAGTAATTGAGGAAAACTCACAACTCAAAGAATTAGAAAAAGCTGAGAGAAGTAAGTCTGTACATTAAAATATATTAATTAAAAAAATTCTAATCCCATAAAATGTATTCAATCAAACAAATGGTACACTTTTCTGGAAACCTTATCTACTGCAAGAATATAATTTAGCAAAGTTTAACATTCCTGTAGGCTGTACTTCTGCTCCAATTTTCTTCTAAGATTGTGGGAGCCTCAGGCACTATAAAAATAACAAAGAAATTACTAAACAGTAGAAATCGTGTAAGAACAAACTTCCTATATTTTATCACATTGTTACTAATATACAAAAAAAATTAATGGTACAGGCACACGTTTTATGTGTAAGTCTGCTAGAATGTTTCAGATTGATATTAAATTCAGTTGTCACTCATTCTATCAGAAGACAGAGTGATTCCCAGCTGTGCAATTACTAGGAAATTTTGCAGGCTCAAGACTCATCATACAGAATAACAAATATCTCCTTTCTGAATAATTAAGATAATCCTCAAAATATGTTTCAGAAGAAACCTCTTCACTCAAGAAGTTTTTCAGGGTAAACAGCAAAGGCACAACAGATATTAACTGCTGTCTCCCAACGCTTGTTCCCACAGCTTCCTTCTTTGCCCTTGTGAAGAGCAGCTGTGGAAGAACAGCATGTCCCTGCTCACCAGATCCACTCCCACCATGCCTTTGATTGCCTCTGCTTAATTGCATGACTACAGTAAACTTCCATTGCTTTCTACTTTCTTCTAACATGAGCACAGAAACAGTAGACTGAGGAGCACTCATTTTTAGTATACCATAGAGAGCACTGCTTATCAAATCCTGCACAGTAACACTTATGCAGGCCCACAGCCAGAAACAGAGATAATCAGTCACCCAGAAGTCAGCAATTGAAGAGGACTGAGTTTCTGAGGTATTGGTGATGGTATAATTTGATCAACATAATTTTTCTATGAGTGATGGTGTCTGAAAAAGAAAAATACTCCTATTTGACTTTCTTACTCTATGTTGAATTTGCAAGGCTTAGTAACAAGAACAGAACCAATGACTCAACAACTTGATCATTGTGAAACAACCACATAAACCACCATATTTCATACCATAACATAACATATACAGCTACAACTTATCTGTGAGACAATTCTCCATTCACATCAGCTGTTAACCAATTCCTGTCAAGCAGTACCTTGGAGTGGTGCCAGCTAGACATTTTTAACGTTTCAAATTTAGTTAACACAGTAGCCAGCATTTGCAATTATGTGGGCTTTTTTGGTTTTTTGTTTGTTTGGTTGGTTTTTTTTTTTTTTTTTACAATCATAAGTCTGCACAATGCTACAGCATAAGTTGAACTGGTACTTTTGTGTTGCATTCATCCAAATGGATATGGTAACTGCTTCTTCACAGAACACTCTGACTGTAGATCTGATCTACATCCCATCTGAATAAACATCCCTATCTTGTTGAGGTTCTGTGATCTCATTTGAATGACCAATGCTTGCTGAATAAATTCCTTAATATTGCTTCAAGGTATAACTAGAGACAAAGACATTTCAATACAAGCCTGAATAAAACAAATATTTTAATTCAATCAGATGGACGAATTGGTTCATGGAAATACCACTTGCAATTCAATAATGACATTTTTAGGTTGCTATATTTTATAAAGAACATTTATAAAGCTGTTAAAAATTGGAAATCACATATGCAAAATGCATTTTTCATTCCTAACTCTAGTGCTACAAGGATTTCCCTGCAGAATGAAAGTGCAAGCTTGGCATTGTAAAAGTCTGCAATGTTTTAGAGACAGAATTTAAAACTTTCAAATATGCATACACAAACTTTATTAAGAAATAACTTGGTTGTATACTGCCTATTTTGACCCTATTGTGATGAATTACATTTCATGAATGTAAAACTAGATCCAAGTATTTTTTTTTCAAATACACAGATCTTACTCATCACTTGGCAAAGTTAAGACTTTTCCTAGAGCAATGGCTAGAGTCCACGTCAGCTTGCAACTACACGGATGTGTTAAGATAAAAATCTACTACATAATGTGCAAACTGTAAATAATGTTACATTTATTTCTTGTTTTCTGCTTTCACAAATTTCTGACATACTGTAATAGTGGAAGTGCACAAAAATAAATTTAACAAAGGTACAAATTCTGTCTTGGACTCTATAAAAAATTAGCATAGCCTGATGATGACGCCATCTATAATGAAAAAAAATAATTGTAATCCTGATCTGTGTCACTGCTTTTGCCTGGAAGACCATGCTTAGATACAAACTACTTCCCTCCAAAATTATGAATTAATATTAATAAAGTACATTTGAGTAATAGACAATGCACATTTATTAAATATTCCTATAGTAATTTCAATATAGTGCTACAGTAAAAAACAGATTGGAGGAAAGGACTATCAGTACATGATATTCAAGTCACAAGAAGGCCTTATAATCATTGACAATAAAGAAGTTATCCTAACTCTAAACCTACTTTCTGTTTAGCACAGGTTGAGTGTTGACGTAACTTTAATGAACAGGGCCAGTGCTGTTGAAAGCAAAGCAAATTCAGAAAATGGAAGAAGAAATTCAAGTCCCTAATATTGTGTAATATGCTGCAGATTTCTCCATAAAAATGCTCATATATACTGAAAATATTTCATCATTCACTGCTACTTATTTATCAAAATAAAAAGGTAATTTAGAAGATTTAGTATAATAAGGGATTGTACACTATATTCTGACAATGTCAAGTTCTGTATTCATTAAATGAACTGTAGTAATCTTTGGGAAAAATCTTGGTAGCACTGAGAATTGCAGAGGTGAGCCAATTAATAGCCTTCTCTAAAGACTTGATTTAAATCAGTCCTCAGACAACATGTCAAATCATTGAGTAGAAATGAATGGAGACTTAGGTGTACTGAATCTGCTGAGAGTGTATCGCACAATATCAAAAACACTTCCGCTGAAAGCCTTTGCTTTCAATATATGTTGACTGGCCACAATTTGACTTTATCAACTTTGGCTTTTGGTTGGCAAGACCTGTACTATTCTATTATCTAGCATGTTGACAGGGTCCTCCCCCTTTCTATCCTTTTTAAAGATGGGTACAATGTTTTTCTTTTTCCAGTCACCTGGGACTTCACCGACTGCCATGACTTGTCAAATATCATGGAGAGTGGCTTGGCAACTACATCAGCAAATTCCCTCAGGATGCTGGGATGCATCACATCAGGTTCCATAGAGTTATGTACATTCAGGTTCCTCAGGTGGTTATGAACCTGAGACACCAGATCAATAATTGTTGGGTTGAAACCAGCTCAGGAGTGTGTGTGTGTGTGTGTGTGTGTGCGTATGCAGGTGGAAGGGATGGGTCGAACCTCACGGAGGTGAAGTGGCATTGTAGCCCTCATGACAGGCCTCTGAAGCCTACATGGGGAAGCCTCGGAACACCTGTCAGTCACAAACAGCCTGGGAAAACTATAACACACCTGCTGGAGCACCTAAGCCAGGCTCAGATTGGCAGGGACAGTGAGGGCACTGCCTCCATCCTAGCCTAGAACCGCAGAGTGGCCAGTGGGCCAGAGGCACTGCCTGGGGGGGAGTTGCCATAAGGACCAGAGCAGATAAAATCATATGTTTGCCACATGTCACAGCCCTGCCATGTGGATGTGTGAGAGCTTCCACAAAGTTCCAATGGTAGCTATATAATTTGTCTCTCCCTCTTTCTCCTTCTCTCTTTCTTTGCTCCCTTCTTGGTGCTTTGGGTGGCTTGGAGCTGGTGAGGTTGGATTTTAATTTAAGTGTTGTGGATTAGCATACGCTGGGTTGATATCATGGTGGAATGTTTTGTCTAGCTCGTGTAGCACCCTTTTGAACTTTTGCCAGGTTCCCTTATTTTCTTCCCTATATTATCAATAAAAATACCTCTTGGGAACAAGTCTGGGGCTTATTCTCTTGACACTATCTCGAGGTATTGAAGAAGCCGATATATATATTTTAAAGTAAAACTCCTGACTGAGCCCGTGAGCTTGCAGCTCCGGGGCCAGAGTGTTACAGGTAAGCACTCTGCGTCCCCATTTCCTGTCCTGCTGTCCATCTACTAGAGAGGTGTGGGAAGAGAAGATGACACTGAAGACTGAGGCAAAGAAGTTGTTGAGTACCTCAGCCTTCTCTTCATCATTTTTATTGCTTTTCCAGAGTTGTTTATTGGGGTAGGAGGAGAAGGGAGGGGGAAGATACATCTTCTTTGACCTTCATTTTCTGATTAACATACCTGTAGAAGCCCTTCCTGTTACTCTTTGCATCCCTTGTCAAGTTCAGTGCCATTTTTGCCTTGCCTTTCCTCACGCTGTCCTGTACTTCCCTACACATGGTTGTGTTCACTGATTCCTTTCAAGGAGAATCACAAATTCTTCAAAGTGCCAATGCTGGCTATCCTAACTGGTTCAGGGAATTATGCTCTTGAAAAGTGTTTTAGCTACAGGTGCAATTCCTTCTGACAATTTCTGGGTACAGTTTTGACACAGAATGCCACATTTCCTATCACTGAAGATTCAAGTGGTGCTCTACAATCTGAGTACATTTTACCAAGACTTTAGTATCCTCTGAGATGAAAATTTGTAGATTAACCTACAAGCAGAATGCAAATATTTTCACTCTCTCACACTCCAAACTGTGCTGGCATTTCTAAGGAGTGAGCTGTCCCCCATACGATTCTGCTGGAAGAACGGAACACTACAATGCTACTATAATCAGCTTCCATCACACTTCATTGCCAGTTTCAAGACACAGAGTTATCTCAATGGTAAAAACCATGGTTATATGTTGCTTCTATGCACTCTAAGTCCAGGACGCCTGTAGTGTCCATATAAATCTAGCCTACTCCACCACATATTATTTATTCCTATGAAGAGAAAGAAGATACCTACTTTGTCCTCATACTCTTGTAAAAATGTTTTTCATTATTTAATTTATTATTATTCTTTAGATAGGCTTCTCAAAGATCTTGTATCAAAAACGCAGATCAAAGATCTTGAACGTTATCAAAATCGATCAGTAATTTATTTCATTCTGCATATAAAACTGAGTCCTTTGGAGACACCAACAGAAAACTGCCATAATTTATGCATGCAGAAGAATGAGAAGTGAGGAAAGAACTCTTCTATGGAAATTCATGTATAACAGTCAAGACACAGTAATTATCTTTGGTTTGCAGAGAAAATTTGGTTCTGTGCATAACTTTTACCTTTTACATATTCATTAAGCTGCTTGTATTAAATGTTGTTTTAAAATGAGTCCAGGCTAATTTTGCTGATAAAAAAATTATTACTGGCTCTCATTATTGTTTAATGTGGTTGGCTAATCACTCATTATTTAGAATGAAAATGCTACTACTAATATTCTGTTAATAGCCAGCATTCTTGACTAGGCTTTTGGGAAGAAATCTGTTTATGTATGTACTTGCTTAGTCTTTTCCCCCTTTTAAATATTTTCAGCTAGAGAAATTTATGCTTATGTGGTGTGCCTCATGGTAATACTGGAAGTCTCCTGTATCTACATGCACTGTATGGACTGCGTGTGAACAGTTTGTCAGTACAGATTCCTCACAGGTAAATGACAAGAAGCTTTTTCCCAGAAACAAAGTCCATTATAGTGGACCCAAGAAGTGAAACAGCTTCTTGTATTTGGTTGAGTGGTTCAGCTCATTTTTATGCCAGCTCCTGCAAGCTGAAGTCTGTTACAGGTCTACCTCAGAGAAAGCTGACTAAAGGGAAATCAGCACTGCCTGCCATCTGCAAGTCAAAATTATTCTGAAAATGGACTGTGGAATTAGGTGAGGAAATAGGCAAAATGGCCCACTCAATTTTTCTAACCACTATTTTTCAGCTGGTTTCTTATGGTCTTATGGAAAATTAAATGACATCATGTTTGGACCAGCAAATAGGATTTTGAAGGACCATTCACATAGTCTTTTGTCATGTGTAATGGATTTAACATTTCTCCTGTAAACATCACTGACTTATTTCTGTGTAATAGGCATCTATAAGATTATTTTTCAATGGAAAAATAAATGAAATATTACACCACTCTTAAACACAACATATATGTGCAACAGTTGGTTGTTTAAAATTTAACTTCATGTACTTTTTAGAGTGGAGTGTTAACATATTGGATATGAAAGAGCAATAATAAGATTACCTTCTGAGAAGAATGTAAAAATAATTTAGCGTTTTGAGAAAATATAGTTACGTGCACAGTTGGTAAATACAAAACAATCTGGACCTTATACAGATAATGGTCTATCTTATTTTTGTTTTGATCTGTTTTATAATTGAATGTTTGTTTTCCACGAGTTCAAAATAACCATGGGCATCTTTGGAGACTCAAAATCTATTATTATTAACTAGTAAAAGTATTAACATGTTATTCACATAAATATTTTTTGAAAAGGGATTTCTATATAACTAATCCATGTCTAATCTTTTTGCAGCCTTTATTACTACAATGAGGACTATCTTCCTCTCTCGTATTTTAGAAACAATCTGATAGCAAAGAGGTTGTACACACACAAGAAAAATTATTTTGCTTAAGGTATTACAGAAATTTTAATAGATCCACAGCAATGATTTGGCCAATATAATTATTTTCAGGCTTGAAGCAAACTTCAGTTCCAAATACTAACAAACTCCAGGTGAGTGGAGGTTCAGACTCATGCTTTAACAAGAAAAAAACCCTCAATCCATCCAAACAAATGGAAAGTTCAGTTTTATTATCACACTGAGACTTGCTTTCTTGAATGCGTATGTTAGCTTACATAAGTGAACCGCAAAATTTTGCCAGTGGCCGCACATTTCCTAGACAGAATTAGGTAGCTAATAATACAGTAGATTTCTTTCTTCAGCTCCTTAACCTTTACAAGGTTGTTGAATTTTGAATTCAACAAGACTTGCCAATGAATAGGGTAACCTATTTTTTAACTGTGAACTCTTTTGGACTTTAATAATTCCACAGAAACTTGACTGGGATCAGCAGAAAATGTACTAACTTTTATACTGTACTTAATTTTTCAAGCAGATATGTAATGAAATCAAGTTTCTCCTGCTAGACATTTTGTCTATGTTCACCCGTGCTCATCTGAATAAATATATATTAGATATTAAAATAATTAAATAAATTAATAATGACATTATTGTATGATATATAAGTGTGTATGTCTTTTTAGAGTGGAGTGTTAACATATTACATATGAAAGAGCAATAATGCAGATATCTGCTGTGAAGAATACATTTAAAATTAATTTGTAGTTTTAAGAAAATAGTTATATGCACAGTTGGTGAATGCAAAAGCATTCAGATCATATAAAGATAGTGGTTTAATTATATAATGATATAGTATATAAGTATAAAGTATAATTATATAATAATTATATTCATTTCTAAATTGAAATAGGCATTAAAATTAATTATTTTCCTTTTTAAGTAAGAGCTCAGTGCTAAGCTCCTAAGTATTGGTTTAGAAAAACAAACGACATCATAGTGTTTTAAAAAATGAGAAATAATCAAGTTTGCACTTCCTTACTGCCAGTGCTTTGTAGTATTTCACTTGCATGCTGATTCAGAAATGAAGATCCTGCAAAACTTAGGGATGGTTAGAATGACAGTATTTGCCTGGAAGTCATCTTTTTAAACAATAGTCTAGAGAGTGCTTCTGTAACACAAAAATAAACACAAGCACTTTGAAAACTCACCATAAATTATGTATGTGTCTCAGATAGGTGTCAAGCAGTCAACCAATTCGTTTAATTGAAAAACAAACAAAAGCTAGTGAATGCCATTTAAAAAGTTAATATAAAAATATTAACTTTATTAATATATTTATTAATATATTTAATTATATTTATAAATTAATATAAAAATAAGTGATGTTAATGGGAGTAAATATGCTCACAGCATAGCCACTGAGGCTAATTTTCCTCAACATCTCTCTCTACTCACAGATCTCTTTGGTTTTTGATACTAGCTCAGGTTTTCAGGATGAGAAAGGTAACTTTCTAAAATTGGCATTTTGGTCCCCAGAAAACCTTAACTGTGGTTCCTGATTTGCTATGTGCTTTGCTTCTCATGAATTATCCACAACTGCTCCTGCTCCTTGGTCTATCTTTAAAAATATGCTACCACAAATCAGTACTTAGCCATGTAATGAACAGCCATCTGTGAACTTCTGTAAATTACATACAGGATAAGCTAAAAAACACAATTTGGTCAAAAAGTCACTCCAGATTAAAAACATTTTTTTTCCTTCTGCAATGGTAAATTATTCAGATTTGGTTTTATGTTTAAAGTTTCAGATCAGAAGAGAAGTTTTTCAGCATAAATTTTATCTCCTAAGTTGACAGAATATGAACTCACAGTAGCACCAAAAACAGATTTAAGTATTAATTTTGCTAGCAAAATGGACTGTGCTTCATAGATGTAACATCACCTGGCTCTATAAATTCACAAATCTGTGTGACACCTCTCAGTTGCAAGAATCCACTAGTTAATGAACATATTGGTGTTCAACATGGAAGGTCTTGCTACAGTTACAGAGTCTCTGAAAGCATTAAAAATTGACTTATTTATTTTCACCCAAACCACTGTATCTTCACACCACTCAAGCCTTTTGGGAACCACCTGCGACTCCCTTCCTACTAAATCATGTTCCTAAATTGTCTGGGAAAACGTGACCTAGCTGAGGCTTAAGACATGCCGGAGACTTTCCATGTTGTGTAACTGTGTAGGCAATAGTGCTCCAGATATTCAAGAGGTATGTTGGATCTGTGAGCAGAGATTCAGCTCTTTTGTTTCTGCATAGGTCTTTCAGCCACACACTGTGAGTTAGTTCATGCTGACAGTTAGTATTGTTACAATAGTGGAATCTTCTGATGACCAGTTCCTAGATTTCATTTTATTAATTAAAAAACCTTACACGTTACTACCAATAATATAAACATTAGTGAGTATAGGTACGGGTATTAGTTGGCCTCACCAAGGGCAAGATTATTTACAAGGGCATGTAGTGACAGGACAAGGGAGAATGGGTTTAAATTGAAAGAGAGTAGATTTAGACTAGATATTAGGAAAAAATTCTTTTCTCTGAGGGTGATGGGTCATTGTAACACATTGCCCAGGGAAGCTGTGGATGCCCCATCCCTGGAGGTGTTTCAGGCCAGGTTAGATGGGGCTCTGAGCAACCTGGCCTAGTTGAAAGTGTCCCTGCCCGTGGCAGGGGAGTGGACTAGATGATCTTCAAGGTCCCATTCCAACTCAAACCATTAAATGATTCTATAATTCGATAATATAACAGTTGTTTGTACAAATAATTTATTTTCTTAATACCATCTCCATCTCGCCTAAACAATGTGACTTTTGGGGTGGAGGATTTGGAACTTGTTAATGAAATTTACATTGTCCTCAACTCAAGATTGGATTGCTGCAATAAAATTGACAGGAAAAAAATCTTCAATTAGTTTGTAAACTGAAGCCCATGTTCAGTGCAACACCCATTTACTAATTAGCATTTCATAATGTGCAGTGCTTGAAGATTTACGCTGACTTGAGCTGAGGGTAATTAAAATATAAGTACATAGGACAACAATAGTAAACCAGTTGTTTATGCACTTAAGTCAGCATATTGTATTTTCCTCTAATTGATTCAATTAATCTTCAGCATTGCTTTTTCTTCTAATGTTGAGTTGGGAAAACTCATCTTTTCCCTACAGCAGGACAGCTCATCTCTGGCTCAACCTCCCCTCAAACACTAGATGAAAGTCAAAACTAAGTGGAAGCATGCATTAGGAAGCAGGAGGTAAATAGCTCATCAGTCACAAATGTGTGCCTTGAGTGCATGACCCTCAGGAGTAAGTGTTTGGGAAATATGACACAAAAAAGGTTTGTCCTGACAGTCACTAAGTATGAAGTTGTTTGAGAGTTACCTATGTGAACATAGTCCCTGCACTGGCTTTACATTTACATTGATGTGTTAAAGGCAGTGTTATCTGTTGACTCGGTATATAGAAAATTACCCAGTAGTCTGAAGCCTCAACTCACAATTCTTTGTTGGGAGGGGAGAGAGTGTGTGTGTGCAGACTCTGAGAATTCTAGATCCATAGAACATAGAAGCAATCCTTGTAGTAAGCAGTTGAAGATAGAAAATGTTGTTACCATACAATTGTTAAAAAAGATCAGTTGCAAAAGAGAAGACTTCAGGAAAATCTATTATAAACTGGTTGTGATATTATATAAGGGAAGGAATTCAATTTGGGTTCCATAAAGGCCTAGAACCCTACCTCAAGCATCCAGAAATTAATCAATTTCTTGCCATAATTTCAGGAAAATTAGGATTGCTCCTGGGTGTACAGTAGCGTGGACCAGTCCCTCACCTAATTGTTGGGATGCAGTAAGGCTACTACCAGAGTATAGCTTTCTGCTTCACTTAATTCAAAAGGCATTAAATGTGTGCTATAGAATGGTTTCATGATGTTAACCAGCATGTAGGAACTTCACTTTGAAAGTACATGTGTGATCAGTACTATACTTGTACAGATGCATCTGATGTCTTAGGCAGTTGTCCTTTTAACTGAAATGAGATTAATGATGCTTTTGAAGTACATCGGGTCAACTAAAATGAAAGCGACCTAATGAGGAACATACAATGTGCCTTCATTAAAAGCACAACTTTGCTGGTACAGTGTCGCTAGATGAATGCAGTTTTGAGAAGAATCTCCATGGGACAGTTGTACAACCCTAGTTCATACCACGCAAGCAGTTTAGGACCAGATACATCAGCAATGCACTCCAGCTGTTTTGCAATATTCCTGCAGCACAAAGAGGCCATAAAACCAATTTAACTAGTCTGTTAAGTCAGGTTCATGGCTGCTTTGTGCCAACATGCTAGCACAAAGCTGCCGAATTGTACAGGTGAACTTGTCCTGCATTCTGTCTTCAAAATGATAGAAAACCTTAAATAGTCTCACCTGAAGTGGTATATTATCACATGCGCCAACATAACAGCCCACCTGGAAATCTTGTTGCAAAGTGGAAACACAAATAAAAGGAAATTACTCATTCAGTAAAAAGAATGAAAATACCTTAAAAAAATGGGGTTCATTCTCTGTTTCAAGTTAAGCTACCATTGGTGTTCAACAAGAGAGAGAACATTCCCACCTGCCACAAAGGCACGTAGAGCCAGTAGCAGTTAAGACAGGCTTTCTCCATTCTACCAGGAAGCATTTACTGAAGTTATTAGAATTCAAGAGGGCTCTGCTGGGCACTGAGTTTTATTCCTACTCATTTAAAAAGTATACAGCAGGTTGTCTTGAAAACACAGGTACTTCAACACTGTCAGAGATACTTCCTGAAGTCTACTTTTTTCCCAAAAGAATATGAAAAATACTGTTTCGTTGACCGAGAAAACTTTATGCCTCTACTATTACAATATATGGAGGCCTGTATTGCAACTGCAACAATAAGCCACTAAAATAATAATTTCTTCAACTGTTTCTAGAAAAAAGTATAATAATAATGTCAGATAACTGCAAATATTCTTTTACATTGATGTAATTCAATCTCTTTCCCTTAACATCCACCTAGGCTAAAATGGTCTATTTTTTAGAGGTTAATTATACTGTTTCCAATCCCTTCAAAGCTACTGACAAAAGTAGTGTGTTTACTGGGGTCTTATAGACTTGCTGAAAGCTTAGCACTTCTCACAAGACGGATTTAAAGATACGCACTTAGTACAAACAATTCTTTACTATGCAGTAGCTTTCAGGAGAAAATAGTTGTATATATCTATATAACTATAAACTTGCATTCCACCAAACAAATACTGTTCTTAGTTACACTCATATGATTTCCAAGCTAAAAAAGCTTAGAGAGTTCTCACGGATTTGACTTTTTATATTCCACTTTTTTCCTGACTCCCCTCCCACTTATCCTAGGTAAATGACCTGTTAGTAGAGAGGTAACATCTGCTGTTTTTCCTAGTTGCCTAGATCTCATGGGGAACTGTAGTCAGTAGCAGTACTGTAGCAACATTAGTCTACCTCCATATGTGTAGGTAAATCTAGCTCCAGAGAAATGACAGAAAGAAAAGCCGTCCTTCATCTTTAAAATAATGAGACTGGTCACACATGATGCTAGATTTAGGTAAACCACAAATTTTAGTCTCTGACTTGGACGATACAAACTTTCATGTTGAAATAAATACATACGGTGACATTTCAAATGCCATGTGTTGTAAGAATGCAGCTGGTTTCTGTATTTTATATAACTGATATTTTATATAGTCAATATTTCATGGACAATGTATGCTCATGAGTAACTCTTACTAAGCTCCTTGTGGTGTTATCAGGAAACTACAAGCCTTTTGATGGTACAACATAAAATTAAACTGCCTTCATATCTCATCCTTCTAATATTTTTCTGTCTAATTGGCAGAGATACAGGGAACACACAGCTTGACTTGGAAACTAAAGCGGCCACTAATTAATTCAGTTTGTAGTGCAGAAAATACTATTTTGTGACCGTGTTTCAAAGCTTAAAGATTTTATTTACTGTGGATCCTAAGTGTACTTTTCCCAGGAATAAGACCTCAACTGGATACACTGCCTCAGAGCTCAAGTTTCATAAACGTCGACAACCATAGGAGAACATAACCTATATAGAAAGTTGGCCAGCCACAGACAAAAGGTCTGTGGTCTCTAGGTGAATGTGAGTACAGACATCTAAACTGGATCTCATTTTCAGTTACAAAAAATGGATACATAAAATTAATTTTTCACAATGCTGTAATTAAAACCATGGTTATTTTATATTAATGAGGTAAAGATGCCTGTCCTCTATGCTATATTTAACCCACCTATTTATTGACTGAGTAAACTTATGGTGCTTATGAAGCTGAAAGGCTGCAAGACATGCAACAACTTTATATTCCATTCACTAGTGCTGTGTGAGAAACTGGGAAAAAATCTGCTAGGACCCTTAAATCTAAATATTTATCTCATCAGTTGGATAAGTTTTTCAACAAAGTCACACAGTCTTAGATAAGGGAAGCCTTTGGGTAACTATGCTTACAAATGTACAAATCCAAAGAGAATCAACCCCCCTAAACTTCACAGACACAATCAACACTCTTCCAGTGGTGCAATGATTAAAACTCTCCTCTAGTGACCAATTTCGAAACACAAAAAATTACAAAGTGGCAGAAATTGAAGTATTAGGTTATTCTCAACTCTTTTGCCAAACGAAACTCTCTCTCTCTCCCCCTTTCTCTCTCAATCACACACACACAACACATTTCCATACTATATATACCCTCCTTGTTCTTACTTTTATATATTGTTTTAATTCCATCTCATTTAGATTCTCCCTAAACTGACCTAAACCAGTTTCACATCAGGATAAATTTGCATTGTTACTTGATTAATAGATATCTAATTCCCTCGTGCTTCCTCTACAGTTTAAAAATCTTAACTTCCCATTTCTCTGCTTCCCATGATACTTCAAAACCCAAAGGCTATCCTTCTTAACATTTGTTTTATGTATGCTTCTATAATTTACATGATTTATATTGTTATGAATATTTTATTTAAGAGATGAGACACACATTTTTTAATGTGTGGTGGTTAAATGAAGAACGTTTTGGAATTATGTTTAGGGTTTTGTATCTCAAGACACAAGTGCATAAAGGGTAGTTATCCCTATCTTTTAAATAAAATCAGGAATGACAAAATATAAACTTTGCAAATTACGCACACTTAACCTTGAGGTGAAAAAATTCATTGCAAAACCTTTATGCAGTAACCTTTCAAGAACTCTACTAACACTGAGTTTCCTCAGTATTTAAAATGGATGCTTCATCATGATGGAATGATGGAACCATTTTAGTCAGCCATTAAATCTGTAGTCATCCAGGTTTTTATTTTATATCTCAAGATGTTTCCTAGTTCTAAGTTGAACGAAGCCTTTTGAAATATTTTAAAATAAAAGATGTTTTATAAAAAAAAAAAATCCCCAGTTTTCTAAAACACAAAGATAAAAATTTTCCATTTGACTAAAGGATAACAACTGTGACAGCTTTAAGTATTGGTAAGTGAGTCTATTGGTAAAAGAAATGCCTGGTCCTCAAGGCTAAAGGTCTAAACTTAAGATGTGGTTACACTTTCTGAGTTCTCTTGTTTGAATTACTTGGTCCAGACTTTTATAAATAATTATATATGTCACTCCTTTACAGTCACTTCTGCGTATTGAACCAATGAGAATAAGGCTACTAAATACTTTTGACAATCTAGGCCCTAGATTTCTCTGTCCCAGTTTCTCCAATTGTAAGAATGTACATTAGCTAATTATGGTAGAATGCTTTGTTGCTGCAACAAATGGTAGTCAAATAAATATGTAATACATGTAGGAGACAAGAATTTTGAAAAACCTATGGAAGGATAAATGGAAATAAAATATATTTTTGTTATTAAATTGAGAGTGATTTAAAGATGTAGAAATCACAATACTGAAATCAAGAGACCTGCCCAAGGAAAGACAAAACTATTGAGCCTTTTGCCTTACTACAGAATTTTATTATGTCAGGCAAGCTGTGAAGAATCAAGTAAGCCATCACAAGGCTGACCATGATCATGAGCTTGAGGTAGATAAAGAACATTTTACACTAGGTGAGCTGAATTACAACAAAACTCTTGTCCAAGTTCAGATTAACTTTGACTGATGTAGCCTATCCTCATCTCTAATGAACACAAAATTCTGGTCAGTGTTAAATTATCTGGTTTAATGTTACAGATGTGTTTTAGGATGACACCTTTTTGTACTGAAGATAAGGTCAAGAGATTGTCAGTCTTCTAACACATAAAGATAAAACTTTCCATTTGACTGAAGGATAACAACTGTTACTCAACTTTAAGTATGAGTAAGTGAATGAGAAGTCTACTGAAGGAAAAGAGGGTTAATTAATCTGTAGATTGGTATTTCAGCTACAAGGAATTACTTCCCTGAAGTTCTTTTCCTGATAAAACAAGTGAAAACAGGATTGGAGACAGTGAATGAATATAGCTTTGTAGAGGGATAAAGAATTAGTCTGAATTTCTTTTTAGCCATGGATTGATTTTAAGCTTTTTGTGCTTTCAGCCTAATCCTCCAAGAATGTAATAAATTGTTACCTGAGGTCAGCATGAAGGTGAAAGTAGCAGTTGAGTCCGCAGGATTATCAAACCTCTGTTGTTAGATTCCCCTTTTTATATTCTCAAATATAATTCACAACTACTTTTAAACTGACATTAAGCAGTGTAAAAATGGATCATAACACTCTGTGGCCATCAATATAAAGAAATAAAAATAAAGGTCAATATATCAGCAGGAAAAGTACGGTAAGTATTCTGTTTGCTCAGTTGATAACAACTACTAACCTAGTCTATCCCAGTATGCATGGCTTTATAAGTGGTAGAAATCTGCTTGCTAAACACACAGGAACTACAGAATTTCCAAACTAGTTACCTCATAATTGCTTGGCTAAGCTTATCTCCTTCTGTGACAGAGTGACCTGCTTAGTGAATGAGGAAAAAGCTGTGGATGTTGTCTACCTGGAACTTAGTAAAGCTTTTGACATTCTTTCCCACAGCATTCTTCTGAATAAACTATCTGCTCACAGCCTGGATGGGTGTACTGTTTCTTGGGTAAAAAACTGGCTAAATGGCCAAGCCCAGAGAGTGGTGATGGATGGAGTTAATCCAGTTGGCAGCTGGTCACAAATGGTGTGCCCCAGGGCCCAGTACTGGGGCTGTTTCTGTTTAGTATCTTTATCCATGATCTGGACAAGGGAAAGTTTCCTCAGGAAGTTTGCTGGTGACACCAAGTTGGGCAGGGATGTTGATCTGCTGGAGGGTAGGAAGGCTCTACAAAGGGATCTGGACAGGCTGGATTGATGGACCGAGGCCAATGGCATGAGGTTCAACAAGGAAAAGTTCTGGGTCTTGGACTTAGGAAAGAACCATTGCCCATGCAATGCTACAGGTTTGGAGAAAAATGACTGGAAAGTTGCTTGGAGTAAAAGGACCCGGGGGGTCTGGTTGACAGCTGACTGAACATGAGCCAGCAGTGTGCCCAGGTGACCAAGAAGGCCAATGGACCTGTATCAGAAATAGTGTGGCCAGCAGGACCTGGGCAGTGATTGACCCCCTGTACTTGGCAGTGGTGGGACTGCACCTTGAGTACTGTGTCCAGTTTTGGGTCCCTCACTACATGAAAGACATTGAGATGGTGGACCATGTTCAGAGAAGGTCAGCTAAGCTGCTGAAGGGTCTGGAGAACAAGTCTGATGAGGAGAAGCTGTGGCAGCTGGGGTTGTTTAGCCTGGAGAAAAAGAGGCTCAGAGGGGACCTTATCACTCGCTATAACTACCTGAAATGAGATTGTAGTGAGGCGGGGATTGGTCACTTCTCCCAAGCAACAAGCGATAGGACAAGAGAAAATGGTCTGAAGCTGTGTCAGGGGACGTTTATATTGGATATTAGCGAATTTCTTCACTGAAAGTATTTCCAAGCACAGGAACAGACTGCCCAGGGAAGTGGTTTAGTCACCATCCCTGGGTGTGTTCAAAAGACACAAAATGTGGTGCATAGGGACATGGCTTAGTGGTAGATTTGGCAATGCCAAGTCAATGTTTTGACTCTATGATCTTAAAGGTCTTTTCCAACCCAAATGATTCTATGATTTTATTCTATAATGCAAATATCAAGAAGGAAATGTCTGCTACAAATCACTAAATATAGTTTAGAACAGTAATAATCCCTTTAAAAAACTATCATTACTGTATTTAATGACTGGCTCACTGGAACATTATGGACTTTCAACATCATATTGGTTCATTAGCTGTCAAATCGGCCATTAGTGCTGGCACTGACCAACAGTATAATAATCTTGGTTATCCTTTCTACATTATCCCAATAGAAGCCATCACTATAAGGAAATTGGTATCCTAAGTTGGAAATATATTTTTAAAGTATATACTTAAACTATATATTAAAGTTTAAACAAATATTTTGCTCATAACACAGACACCTAAAAATATATCAGATCTCTACTGCATTCCAGCAAGAGTAATTTGCAGTTGTCTAAAGACATTCTTTATTTTCACAGAGTTAACAGGGTAATGAAACTTGCTGTGATCAGCAGAAAGTTCAGTGAAAGCTACGAAACCTTTTTAGGCTCCACAAATGCTGATCCCCCTATCCTATCAGGAACCTCATCTTGCCATAGTTGCACTGTTATCAGTATTCAAGACAGCTAATTTAGAGCTAAGTCTGCTCTATAGCAGTATAAACTTTGGCTTGTACAATGAGAACAATGAAAAGAGCAATAGGAGTTATAAACATGTGTAGAATAAAACCTAAATATCATGCTAATTACAAACAAATTGAAGTCACCCCTGCAAAATTTTACCCAAGCAACTGAAAGTCTAATAATTTTTTGTTTCAAATAAGTATTTTTATTAGTGAATAAAACATACTATTCTTTTAATCAATATTAAATACCAAAAAAAGACTTGGAATGTTGTCTTTTACTTAGGATAACAAATTTTTCCATGGCAGCTTTCAGGAGAATTAAATAAGTTTTCAACTTACACAGTTAGCTCAATAGGAATGTATCACTAAATAAATATTGTCAAATTATGTGTTTAGAAATCAACAAGCAAACAAAGAAACCCATTAATAATAAAGTGGTGGGAAATGCTAGTATGCAAAGCCATGGAGCTATAGTTTTGAATGCATGGAAAATCAGAATCAGACTCGAAAGAAATTACAAACTTGTGACTGAACAGTGAACCCCTAAACCAGAAGAATGCTCAGAGGAGAAGAGAAGGGCAAAAACTTCTAGAATTTTTCAATTATTACATAAATAAAGAAGAACTAAAGCCATAAGTCAGAATTTTCCCCTCACTGAAAAAATTCTTGATGATCTCAGCACCAGTGAACTTTATTATAGAAAGAAAACACCTGACCAAAAAAATAAGAGCTGTTGAGTAACTTCTTCTAATGAAAATGTAAGAAAAGGACATCACTTGGTATAAAGTGCTATTTATAGCTTCGTTACAGTCTCTCCGTATAGAGAACTAAAAAATGGGAAGTAGAACTAAAAAATGGGGAGTTTGATAAGAGTATAAATAGGAGTATAAACACTGGAGGAATAGTGTTGCTATAATTACACCCCTGAGGATAGGGGACAGCAGATGGAAAAATTGTTATTAAGAAAAATGGGCGCAAGAGCAAATGAAAGGTGGTCGTTTCATTATATCCATAACCTCTATTACTTAATTGTTCTTATCACTTCAGAAGTAGGACCTCAAGAAGTTACACGTAATAGTGATACTAGTGTAACTATCTCAGAGTTGTCAGAAGTAGTAAAGTGAACACAATCACCTTATCTTGAATTTATATGCACAGATTTATTATCTACAAATTGTACTTAAACTATACAGCTAAGGCTGTTGGTTTTCTGTGCTCCACACATAAAATTTAGCGTGACCTGATTTTTGCATCATAACACAGTCCCTCCAACAGTTTCTTTGCTATTCTCAAGCCTCTTGACATTTGTCTATTGTGTAGTTTGCTGGGCGCAACCTAGTACAACAGAGAGATGCCTTAGTGACTTCACCCAAAAGACAGACAGCAAACTTCCTAAGGGCTTTTTGCAGCTTGGTAAATGTCAGAGCTCATTGAGTTGTCTCAGGTGGGAAGAGACAAAAGCTATAGAAAAGGTCAGGCTGCTATGATCCTGGTTATCCTACCAATAACAGTAAAAAAATAATTTAAAAATAATTTTCTTTCTTTCTTTCCTTCCTTCCTTCTCTTTCCTTCCTTCTTTCCTTCTCTTTCTTTCTCTTTCCTTTTTTCTTTCCCTCTTTCTTTTTTTTTTTTTGGTATATTACAAATTAGCTCATCCTTTAATATAAACCATTCTTATTTTCCTAGCATACCACTGCAGACAGTTTCAGAATTCTAAATTAATTTCTGACTGATCTCTACTAGAAGATTTACAACTTGCAAAACCGTGTGATCTGAAGCCTGATTTATAGCTCACTGACACATAGCAAATAGAGAGTATTAAGATGCTATTTGAACATGAAAGCACAGTGCAAGAGAAGCCTTTTCAGACACAAATACAGAAGTTAGAACAGACAATATGCTCAACCATACAAAAAGTCTGCCATTATGTAGCACTCCAGAGATTAAAGCAGATAAAAAAGTGACCCTTCTTAAAACATTACTTATTGTAATAATGTACAAATTGAGGATAAACATTATGCCATTTGGCCCAGGACAAAAAAAACCCTAAAATAAAATAACTGTTTCAAAGTTCAGGGCTTCAGTTACTACAACCTAAATACTCAGCTGCTAAAATGAACTACTTCCCCAAACCAAGGAAGTAGACAACACTGTATCTAACTGAAAGAGAAATACAAATAAATATAAAATAATCTTTACTCAAATGGCAGATGGTTTCAACCAAGGAGATTACATCTACCATGGATGAAAATTAACTGGCTGCAAACTAAGTAAAATGTGTGAGAGGTGTAGTCTGGGGAGGATTTTTGCAGTCCAGAAAAAAATGACTTTGAGAATTACAATTCAAGTTTAAAGTACACACTGTTATCTTTATATTAATGTATGTGTATTTTATACATTTATTTTGTATTAGATTATGAAGAAGGAAAAAGAATAGTCATCCTACAAATACTCTAAAGGTACTTTTATATACACATATAAGAATTACTCTGAAATTCAAGTGATTATTCAGAAACACTCTCCCAATGGAATTATTCTTCCAAAACACTATAAATCAATTATTGATTTATTTTTTATTGTCAGCAACAGTGATAGCACCTCTGGGATAATGTATTTAAGATGGACAAAAAGTTACTCTGCAGAAACAATTGAAGCCAGAGAAGAGAGGCATGAGAATAAGTGAGAGAAATAACTCTGGAGACACCAAAGTCAGTGAAGAATGAGAGAGAGTAGGTGCTCCAGGTGCCAGATCAGAGATTATCCTGCAGCTTGAAGTGCAGACCATGGTGAGGCAGGGGGTCTCCCTGCAGCCCATGGAGGTCCATGGTGGAGCAGACGTCCACCTGCAGCCCGTGGAGGACCCTGTGCTAAAGCTGGTGGATGCCTAAAGGAGGCTGTGACCCTGTGAGAAGCCAGACTGGAGCAGGCTCCTGGCAGGACCTGTGGACCCTGGAGAGACAAGTCCATGCAGAAATAGGTTTGCTTCAGGACTTGTGACCCCATGAGGGACCCATGTTCTAGCAGTTTG